AGGATATCATTGACGTTCTGGTTAACTCTGCAAATTCACGCTTTTTATCATGTATTTTTTTGCCAACATTTCAATCAAAAACCTCTGGCATAGCCTAAAGTATCGTGTAATGCGATTCTTTTGTATGAATGAAATTCGGAAAAAAATATATATATATGCAGTGCAGTCACAAGAAAACGATTTGTTTAAATTAAAATTATCATTATATTTTCTAATCTGCAAATGTAGCTTTTATGGTAAAAAAAATGTTACATCAAGTAACTGTACAAAGAAAGGATTAAGGAAATTTGTTGATTACACGAATTTACAAATTAAAGATAACTGGTGTGACAACAATTTTAAAAACGGAACAAAGTTTCTTTCTAACCAGATATTGTATACAAACTTATTCTTTAAAATTTTATTGCAATTATGGCTGCAGACATTATTGCTAGAACTACCACTGAAATATTGGCACTTTATTGTCCAATAGTTGGTGCAATAAATATTGTAGCCAAAGAAATTTATCAAATCTGTGACGATGCAGAATGTAATCAAAGAATTTGTTCAATTATGGCGGGACGGGTAAAATCAGCAGAATTTGCTATGGAATCTATTATGAATTCTATAGGACAGAACCAAGATAATTTTCGTCAAAAGACTTATTATTTGGCATTTAAAAGATTTGAAATTATTTTGATAAATATTAAAGATTATACTGAAAAAATATCAAAACTTAAAGGATATAAAATATATCTTAATGCAAGAGAAGTTAAACATAAATACGAAAGATTAACGCAAGAATATGATATGTGTATGAAAGATTTGCACTTTGCTATTGCTGTTGCCAATAAAGCAGCTAGAGATGAAGATGCTCGAAAAGTCGATAAAGCTTTAAAAGACATTGAAAATGTATGTATAATTATCGGAATGCCATGACTTCATTTTTTCAATTTTTTAACTCTTATCAATTTTTAGACTCTTAACAGTAAACTTGATCCGATAGCCAAAAGTGTAGACTTTATGAAATCTCAAATGAATAATCAATCAACCAGTTTCGTTGCTGATAGAATTGTACCAAATGACTTAAAAGATCCTAATTTTCCAACTGATGATGATATTCGTGGACATGTTTTTAAGAGGGTTTACCGCCTGAAAGAGGTTGCATGCAAACCTATTAGGGGTGACCTTAATCAATATCAACATGAATTGGCAGTTCTCGGAAAATTAAGTGAAACTGAAAATATTCTTCGTTTCTATGGTCTTTCACATATTGATAATATGGAAGTTATGATTTTTGAATGGGCTTCATATAAAACCTTAAAAGAGCTTTATGATACTTTTGATATTCCTTGGACTAGAAAAATACAAATTGTTCGAGATATCCTTC